TTGATTATTCTAGAGGAAGTAAAAGCACAAACGGGTCAGAGTACGCCCGGGGGCCAGAGCCTGAAGGCAAACCAGGCTGTCCAAATATGATGTTGGGGGCTGGAGTGCAGCTGCGGCCTCTTCCCTTGTTTCCTCAGGGTCCCGGCGCTTCCGGTGAAGAATTTGAATGGTACCGGACCGGTCCACCCGGCTCTGGCAGGTGAGATCCAGCCCGGAACGGGAAAGAGGCGGGCCCACAAGGAGGCAGCCCCATGACTCCGCCCCCGGGGTCGGCTAGTGGGCGGTGCCCAGAGGGAACGCCCCTTACCCCTGGGCCTTGATACTAGGGTGGGCGTGGGCCGCAAAAGGCATTCCACTGGGCTTCCACCTGGGATGGGGCTGAAGGGTCGGGGCCTAGGGGAGAGGCCCCTCCGTCCACCCAATGACAGGAGAGCAGGGGGGTGGGGCCGAGGGACGCCCCGCCCTGACTGCCCTGCTGCGCCTCAGGCATGACAGGGATCCTGCTGTGCGCCGCCGGCCTGCCCGTGTGCCTGACGCGGGCCCCCAAGCCCATCCTGCACCCCCCGCCCGTGAGCAAGAGCGATGTCAAGCCCGTGCCCGGAGTGCCCGGGGTGTGCCGCAAGACCAAGAAGAAGCACCTCAAAAAGAGTATGCCTCCCACGGACGACCCTGACCCTGAACTTAACCTCACTAACCCGTGACCACAATCCCTCGGACCCCTCAACTCCAATTTGTTCTTAGGACTTACGAGCCCACTTCCATCCCCTGATCCCAGCTCCTGTTCCCCCGGCCCCACCCGCCACCGACTCCGATTATATCTAACCTCCTACAACCCTGACCAGCCCACCTCTCTGGCCTCTGACCCGTCCTGAGCCAAGCCCTCAGGGTGGATTCTGAGCACGCTCAAGCCTACCGCGCTGTGCCCTTGCAGGTAAGAACCCCGAGGATGTGGTTCGAAGGTACATGCAGAAGGTGAAGAACCCACCTGATGAGGTGAGCCCGGGGGAGGGGCCGTCCGGGCAGAGGGCAGCCGCCCGGTAGGGAGGGGGGCCGTCCCTCTACGCCCTCCCAATATACTAACTGCTCCTGGTCCTCTGTGTTACACCCTCTTTCCCCAGTTTATGGGTCTCCTTAACGGAAATACTTAAGTCTAATAGAATCACATGATCAACCTCTTGATGACTGACAGCTT